ATTTCCGGAAAACCATTCTTCATTGCGGATTACGTGAATTGTTCCGTAATTTTTACTGAATATTTCTTTCCGTGTGGCTGCAGAAGAAATTATCAGGCTTTTTTTTACAGATCATTACCGAAAAGTACACAATTTTAATCAAATTCTTTCCACCAATTAATCACTGAATTAATACTTAATAGTATTTGCAGCGATGATTTGCGATGAATTTATTAGGCAGGATCTTCCTGCAGAAATTTTTAATAGACTATGAGAAAGATCTTCTGATGGTTCACCCGAAAATCGCTCATTTCCGGAATAATTTACTAATCAGTCGACTGTGAGAGGAACTACTTATTAATTTATGGCTCATCTACTTAATTATGAAATTATCTCGGTGATGAGTGACTGCAGGAGAAATCATCAGGGCATTTTTTTAATAACTAAATTATCAAAATTATGAAATTTTACTCGAATCTTTTCCACCGATTAATCATCAGATTAATACTCATTAGTATCTGTGTCGACGATTTGGGACGAATTTATGAGGAGAGAACATTTTGTAAAAAAATTTATGGCCGATAAAAAAGATCTGATGGTTCACCCGAAAATCGCTCATTTCCGGAATAATTTACTAATCAGTCGACTGTGAGAGGAACTACTTATTAATTTATGGCTCATCTACTTAATTATGAAATTATCTCGGTGATGAGTGACTGCAGGAGAAATCATCAGGGCATTTTTTTAATAACTAAATTATCAAAATTATGAAATTTTACTCGAATCTTTTCCACCGATTAATCATCAGATTAATACTCATTAGTATCTGTGTCGACGATTTGGGACGAATTTATGAGGAGAGAACATTTTGTAAAAAAATTTATGGCCGATAAAAAAGACCTGACGGTTCACCCGAAAATCGCTCATTTCCGGAATAATTTACTAATCAGTCGACTGTGAGAGGAACTACTTATTAATTTATAGCTCATCTCCTTAATTATCAAATTATCACGGAGATGAGTGGCTGCAGGGGAAATCATCTGACTATTTTTTGCAGATAAATAACCGGAAAATACGAACTTTTAATCAAATTCTTTCCACCAATTAAGGATATCCAAGTATTTTGGTTATTTTTTCTTCAGAGAAATGTTTTTCTACTTTTGTATTCGAACACCAGAGCTTTTATTTGAGCTCCATTTCACCCCAAGTTTTGGGACAATTTACAACGATTTTATTATTTAAACTTTGCAGGTCTGAAATTGAATTTCAATATTGAACCGTTAGAAAAAATTTTTTAAATTGGAAAATTAAAAATTAAAAATTAGAAAGTTTAACTTTTAGGGCAAGATTGATGAAATTTCTCTATATGTATTATAAAAATCCAAATCGGTTTTTAAAAATTTGGTACTCGAAAATAAGACTTCCAAATTAGAGGCCTTGAGGGTCAGAACAAACGTTATGAGGGTCACAATAAGGGTCACGAGGGTCAAAATAAGGGCCACAAGGGTCAGAATAAGGATCATGAGGGTCAAATTAAGGTTTATGCGAGTCATATTAAACGTCACAAGAGTCAAATTAAGATTTATGCCGGTCACATAAAGGGTTGCAAGATTAAAGGTCAAAAGGGCCAGAGTAAGGGCCCAAATAAAGATAACAAGAGTCAGGTTGAGGTTCTAAATCAGTGTCACAAGCATCAGATTAAGGGTCAGAAGGTTCAGAGTAAAGATCCAAATAAGCAGGTCAAATGGGGGTCAAATTAAGGGTCACCAGGGTCAAAATCCAGGTCAAGAGGGTTATAATTAGGGTCAAATTAAGAATCCAAATGAGGGTCACTGGGCTAAAAATAAGGGTCTCAATATCTTTCTATATTGTAAAAATCCAAATCGACTTTTGGTTATGAATATTTGGTGCTTGAAATTAAGACTCCAAAATTAAAGGCCAGAAATGAAGGGTCAAAATAAGGTCACGGGGGGTATAATGAGGGTCACGAGGGTCAGATTGAGGGTCACAATGGTCAGAATAAGGATTATAGGGGTTGGCGAGCAGAGCGAGCACGGGCCGTAACCCTCTAGTAATTAAAAAAATTACAATTTTTGAAAATTACGATAATTGTTTGCAAATAATTTATAAACAATCAATTGTCTACCATAAAAATCATTTGTTCGGAATCGTAACAAATTTATTCATATTGAGAATTTTACCAGAAATCTATTTCATGCCTAAAAAAATAAAGTTTCCGAAAGTTTAAACAATTTAAATCATTTATTTATGAAGAACGAAGGTTTAAAGAAATAATAATTCTGCGTAAAATGTAATTTGAATGACTCTGAATATTCATGATTGTTTTTTTTTATTTTTCTCATGCAATTGATAAATTTCATGATTGAAAATAGTTGAATATATAGTGTAGCTTGTACCAAACTGTAAAAGATACCTGGATACTTTAAATCACAGGATTAATACTCAGTCGTGCTTGTGTCGATTATCTATGGACGGCCGTTGATTAAAATTCATAAAAAGGAGAGTTTGAAAAAAAACAATAAGGGATAATAATAGTAGAAAAACAAAATCGACAGAATAGTGAACACTTGTGTATCTCAATTTGTTCTTGTCATTGTGATTCTTTTTTTATCCCTTCATTATCTCTGAACGCCTCACGAACGGGTTTGTGCACAATAATATTGCCGAGTGTACATTGGCACACTGATAAGAGACAAAAAGCTGACTTTATATGGTCTGGAGCAAAGATTACTCATGATATTTTTCTCAGCTTCAATAATAGCTTGTTAAATAGAGCTAAGATTATGCCGGGAGAATGGTAAAGCGTCTTAATCCGAATTTATTTATAGAGGGAAAAGAGAGAAAATGGGATTTGAAAAATCAAAGAGGATTTGCCGATTCAAATTAAGTGTGTTTGTCTGCTGATGGACTTAGCTGCACAACGCATTCGTTTTTTATTGCTGTATTGCTAGGGAATCACTCCTGAAATATCAAGTAAAAATCGGGGAATTTTTAGCAACGATTAATTCAGGAAATTATTTATAGTTGTGAACATTCAGATAAGCATTGTTTTGAATTTTTAATACTTTGAATATTCAGTTGTGATTCTTAAACTTCACATTGAGTTGGAAAATTTAAGGAGTCATTAGAATATCAATCATCTAATATAAAAAATCAATTTTGTTGAATTTCTAAGGTAAATAAGAAATTCCGTGAAGGTGTCGATCTTCAATTTAATTTAATTACAACATAGAAAATTCAAATGTAGCTGTTAATTGAATTTAAAATATTTAAAACTGTGGAATTTTATGAGTACAATGTTAAAAATTTTATTGTGTTCAAACTCCACTGAAATTTCAGGAAATATTGAAATTGAAAAATTAAATATCCCATTGATTTTCTGTTCAAATGACCTGGAAATTAATAAAATACTTGATTTTTCAGTTCAATTATTCTGTAAAAATTGAAAAAATCAGGAAAACTCAGGGAAAATTTAAAATTCATGTCATTTTGTTTCTGAATATTCATGTTCCACTGAAAATTCAATCAGGTTGTGAAATTTCCATCTCATTTCCACTGAAAACTCATGAATTTCCGTGAATTCTACTTAAAACTTGAAATCTCATAGCAATTTTTTCCCTAAATCCGATTCAATGTCACTCTCATGAGATTTACTATATCCTCCATTGAATTTCAAAAAATTTCTAATAGTATATTCGTTGAATGCGATTTCCAATTTTCACAATGTGTTAGAAAATTTAAGCTGTCATTAAAAGATTAATCATCGCCTAATATAAATAATCAATTTTGTTGAATTTCCAAGGTCTTAAATCTTAAATTAAATTTAAGTGTTAATTGATTTTAAAACATTTCGCAAAGTGGAATTCCATAAGTTTTCTTCATTGTTTCAGATACTATTAGAAAATTACTCTTGAAATATCGAGTTAAAAATGTTTAAATTTTTCACAACTAATTCCCATGAAATTTTCGTTCATGTTGTTATTGATGAATTAGTTAATTTCTGGAATATTCTCGGAATTTGCCACTTTTAAGTCCATATAAAAAATAAATTATTGAGAATTGGGGAAATTCAGGCAAGCACTGTTTTTCAATTTTCATTATATTGAAAATTCAGTTGAACGTAATTTACCATTTTTACAATGAGTTGAAAAATTTAAGCTGTCATTGGAATATAAATTATTGTCTAATATAAAAAATCAATTTTGTTGAATTTCGAAGGTAAATGAGGAATTCCATGAAGGTGTCGATCTTAAATTAAAGTAAATTAAATTAAGTTAATTGAAATTGAAACATTTCGAACAATGGAATTTCATAAGTATTTTTCATTGTATCAGATACTGTTAGAAAATTACTCTTAAAATATCAAGTGAAAAATTCTGAAATTTTTCACAACTAATTCCCATGAAATTTTCGTTCATGTTGTTATCGATGAATTTGTTAATTTCTGGAATTTTCTGTGAATTATCAACCGTCAGGTTCATATAAAAATAGAAATGATTGATAATTGCGAAAAATCACGCAGGCATTGTTTAGAATTTTCAATATATTGAAAATTCAGTCTAATGTGATTTTCAATTTTCACAATGAGTTGGAGAATTTAAGCTATCATGGAAATATCAATCATCGTCTCATATTAAAAATCATTTTGTTTTGTTTTGATCTTAAATTGAATCAAATTTAAATTACAATCCAACAAATGAGTTAATTTCTGGAATAAATTATTGATAATTATGAAAATTCAGACAAGAATTGTTTTTTCAAAACTCCTTTGAATCTGATTTTCAATTTTCACAATGAGTTAGAAAATTTACGCCGCCATTAGAATATCAATCACCGCCCAATATAAAAAGCAACTTCATTGAATATCCAAGGTGAATGAGAATTTCCAGGTTTTGATCTTAAATTAAATTGAAATTACAACATAAACCATCCAAATGTATCAGAATTAAAAAACAATCAACCGTGCAATTTTACAGGGATTTTTAATTTTTTTCTTTCAGATGAAAATTGAAACGTCAGTCGACCTCACATAGGCAGGCAAACACTGCGGACACGGGTTCTGTTTTGTTAAAAAATGGACGGTCATGTGCCGTAGAACAACTGCCATGCTAGTGACGAATCAGTCATCGGCACCACTGGATAATTTGTCGAATATGCTGTCGGTACTTGAAGAAGAGGCAAACACCGACATTGACGACGTGTTTCCACCGCATGTCGATACGTCAAATATAGTTATTCATCCAGAATCGCCAACGACTAAGAAACAGGCATTGAAAACATTTGCCGAAGTCAATGCACTGTTGCAAGCTGGTAGAAAGAGAGAAGTTAAACTTATTATAAGGGAAAATGCATGGCCGCTCAATAATGGCATCAGGGCACAGCTGTGGCCAGCGCTGTGTCAACAGCACGCTCATGGAAAGAGTATGCTCGATGGATTCTATTGGGATATGGTTAATCAAGTCTTTGGAACTACAGGTGAATTAAAAAATTTTAAAAAAGGGAATTAATTAAGGATATCCAAGTAATTTGGCTGCAGTGAAATGTTTTCGCTTTTTGTAGTTGAATATCAGAGCTTTTATTTGAGCCGATTTACAATGATTTTATTATTTAACATTTTAACATTTATTAGAAGACGTTTTAAGAATCTGAAACGAGTGGGAGATTGCTTTTATATTAATATAGTGTTGTTTTTTTGCTGATTGATTGGCAATGTACGGCCGAATGGTCATTTTGCACATCATTTCGAGTCGTTTTATTAAATTCAATGACAATTCTTCTTTAAACAATTGTCATTTTTTATTTAGTTTAATATTTGATGCTATTTCAAATATGAAATAATATATATCTATACCATTCATTTATTCGATGAAAGTGGAGTCGAAGGAGGTCGTTGTAATGATAATTGAATCAATTTTAATCTTTCGTTTTTTCATTCAAATAATCAGTGGAAGTAGATTTTCTGAAAGATGGAAAATTATCTACTTTTGAATGCTATGAGAATAATTTCCGAAATTCTTTTATAAATCGAATGGAAGAATGATGTTATCTGTATTATGGAATGAATTTGGAACATCATATTTGAAGAAACCATCAGAAAATTCTCTGTCAGAGCAATTTACGAAAATTTTTAAATTTACAAAAATCGTAAAAAAATCCAATTAATGAATAAACGAATTGTAACGATTTTTTAACATCGACAGAGTGGCTGTGAAACTCATATTCTCAGCTCTCATTGAATGAATCTAGAGCATGATATCCAAAAATATCCTCGGAATTGGAATTTTTATAAAATACAAAATTGTTGAAAATTATTCTAAAAATAAAAACAACGATTATAGCTATCGTCTTCATCTTTAAAGTCGTTCGAAGAGACATCCAAAGAATTTTTTTGAACCATCATTCAATGAATTAACATTTTCTTTTGAGTTATGGTGGGACAATCGATTTTTAAAAAATTCTAAAATTCAAAAATATAGTATATGGATTAAATTTTGATTAATGTCGATGGATAGGGCTCAACAATAATGGCATATTTTCACTTTTTGAATCACAATAGGTTGATGTGACACAAAAAATCTAAAACTTAAATTTGAACGATTACAATGCTCCCATTCGAAGCAATAGAAAATTTACTTTTGGGGGAAGATTGATGAAATAATCACAAAATTCCAATTGTTGAATATTACGAACATTTTTTTTTATACACAATGAATTTTCTCCCATAAAAATCGTTTATTCGAAGTTGTGGCAAATTTATTCATATTCAGAATTTTACCAGAAATCCACATCATAGCTAAAAAAAAAAGATTTGTTAAAGTTTAAACAATTTTAATTATTTTTTTATAAACAAAGAATATTTTAAAAAGTAATAATTCTGTGCAAAATGTAATTTTAAAGACGTTCAATATTCATGATTTTTTAAATAATTTTTCTCACGCAATTTAATTGACAAAATATAGATCATTATTCATTCCAACAGATTTATGTAAAATTACCCTGAAGAGGACCCAGAATCAGGGTCGAAACGTTGGTGTTATTTGAAATCTAAATAATAAACTGACCGATAAGCGAAAAAATTTATCATTTATTCAATTGACAAATCTGATGATTGAAACTCTAAAAGATACTTGGATATCCTTAAGAGAAATCACCTTTATCTTGTGAAAATCTTCTCGAAAAACATTTGAAGAGTATCTCGGGACAATTTTTTGTTGTAGAAATTGATAAATCTATTCCAAAAAGTGTCTATTTCTTTCAGAGATAATGGAAAGAGCTCCATTCCCTCCAATCGCTCTACAAAAAAGTCTCCCGACATTAGCCCTTAGAAGCACAATTCATATAAATGAATAAATGACAATGTTTTCATGATTTTTCACAAAGTTCAATGATTTCACTGGAATTTATTGAACCGATTACTGATGTTCAATGTTTTATCTTCACAGAGCTGCCAGATAAATCAATAATGCTACCGCCATTCGTCGATAGCACTCATTGCCTGTCTTATAATCTCACACGAAAAGGCAGAAGCGTTGCTGACAGAGTTGTCTCTGTACTCGGATACGCCTGTCCAGACATAACTTATAGTCCCTCACTCTATCCAATTACAGCGCTTTTATTGCACTTCATGCCAGGTCAGTATATTCCAATTTGTAAAACCACGTAATTACAATTTGCCAGAAACGTTTAACGTTGAAACTGGGTAATTTTGCAGAAGAGGAATGCTACCACTGCATGGCGAGTCTCGTTGCAGCCAAGGAGAAGATGTTTATAACGCAGACGAAATTGTTGTACGAGAGCACTTGGAAGACTGTTGAACAAATAACGAAGAAGCATGTTAAATCAGCAGCTGTACATCTTACGAGGCACTGTTCAGGCTCGAGGGCTGAAAGAATCTATATGGATTGGATATGGTGGATCCTTCAATTATTACCGTTTCAGCATCTAGTCAGAGTTATGGACTGTTTTTTGCACGAGGGCTCCAAAGTAATTGTCTTTTATCAAGATTATTTAAACCGCTTACATTCGTCACAGCAATTTTAACAATAAACGAACACTGGTAGAAAAAAAATGATATTTCAGGGACAACGAATGCGATTTAGGGAGAAAAAATCATGAAATTTCAGGTTTCAATGAAAATTTAGTACAATTCGAGAATTTTAAGCAGCTCAAAAACGAGAATTTCTTAATTTATTTGAATTTCCAATCTAATATGAATATTCAGTACCAAATTACATTGAACTTTCAATGAAATGTGAAATTTCAAGATTTTTTTCCCCTAAATCGCATTCAGTGTTAGTGTCCTGAAAATTCAAGAATATATTTACCGGAATTTTTTGGTTTTCTATTCATTTTCGGGGAAAAATGGAACTGAAATTTACAGTTCTCTTTGATTTTTCCACGAAATTCTGAATTTTCAATGACAAAATTCCTTGAAATTTCAGTGGTAATCAAATTTGATAAAAATTTTCAAAAAGTGTACCGGAAAGTTCAGACAACAATTTTTAACAGTGATGAAATTTCAGGTTTCCCTGAAAATTCAGTACAATTCGAGAATTTTAAACAACAGAAAAACGAGAATCTCTTAATTTATTTGAATTTCCAATCTAGTATGAATATTCAGTACCAAATTACATTGAACTTTCAATGAAATGTGAAATTTCAGGATTTTTTTCCCCTAAATCGCATTCAGTGTTAGTGTCCTGAAAATTCAAGAATATATTTACCGGAATTTTTTGGTTTTCTATTCATTTTCGGGGAAAAATGGAACTGAAATTTACAGTTCTCTTTGATTTTTCCACGAAATTCTGAATTTTCAATGACAAAATTCCTTGAAATTTCAGTGGTAATCAAATTTGATAAAAATTTTCAAAAAGTGTACCGGAAAGTTCAGACAACAATTTTTAACAGTGATGAAATTTCAGGTTTCCCTGAAAATTCAGTACAATTCGAGAATTTTAAACAACAGAAAAACGAGAATCTCTTAATTTATTTGAATTTCCAATCTAGTATGAATATTCAGTACCAAATTACATTGAACTTTCAATGAAATGTGAAATTTCAGGATTTTTTTCCCTTAAATCGCATTCAGTGTTAGTGTGCTGAAAATTCAAAAATATATTTACCGGAATTTTTTGATTTTCTATTCATTTTCGGGGAAAAATGGAACTGAAATTTACAGTTCTCTTTGATTTTTCCACGAAATTCTGAATTTTCAATGACAAAATTCCTTGAAATTTCAGTGGTAATCAAATTTGATAAAAATTTTCAAAAAGTGTACCGGAAAGTTCAGACAACAATTTTTAACAGTGATGAAATTTCAGGTTTCCCTGAAAATTCAGTACAATTCGAGAATTTTAAACAACAGAAAAACGAGAATCTCTTAATTTATTTGAATTTCCAATCTAGTATGAATATTCAGTACCAAATTACATTGAACTTTCAATGAAATGTGAAATTTCAGGATTTTTTTCCCTTAAATCGCATTCAGTGTTAGTGTGCTGAAAATTCAAAAATATATTTACCGGAATTTTTTGATTTTCTATTCATTTTCGGGGAAAAATGGAACTGAAATTTACAGTTCTCTTTGATTTTTCCACGAAATTCTGAATTTTCAATGACAAAATTCCTTAAAATTTCAGTGGTAATCAAATTCGATAAAAATTTCCAAAAAGTGTACCGGAAAGTTCAGACAAAAAATTTGAACAGTGAAGAAAGGAAAGAAATGAGAAACAATTCAGTTTTCAATAAATATTTCGAAATCCAAAACGGATTGCGAAATTTCAGAGATTTTTACTGCAAACTAGAAATTTTTTCCTCTGAGTGTAATCTCAAGAGGAACTATCAAGGGATATTTTCGTTTCGCGATTTTCTAAACTTTGAAAATATTTCCTTGAGATTTTGTTTAATTCACGAATCCAGAAGTTCCGAATTCCAAAACCGAGATTCGTAAATAAAATAAATAGAAAGGATAAATAAGAACTGGATGAAAATGGGCCTCAATTCAAGAACAATTATAGTAAATTAAAAAAATTAAAAGGAAAAAAATTCTTAAATCAGGAACACTGGATGTAATTTAAGGATATTCAAGCACTTTGGCTATTGTTTTCTCTACAGAAATACTTTTCTACTTTTGTAGACGAACATCAGAGCTTCCATTCCACAACAAAAAAAAAATTCTGATTCTGATAGCTGATTCGATTCTGGGTAGCATTATTGATTTATCTGGCAGCTCTGTGAAGAGCTCTTCATTTTGAATGAGGATTTTTTAATTGAATTTTACATAAATCTTCTTAAAATGAGTGAAAATGTCACTTAATCCCAGAATTTTGTGCTTGCTTTATTTCATTACGACAGTTATGAAATTTTTATTGCAAACTAGAAAATTTTTTCCTTTTGTTTAGTCAGAGGAGTAGCAGACCCAGATAATTTCACGATTTGAAAAATTATTTTGCAAATTATGACAAATGTAGAGGTCTAGAGAAATATTTCATAAGACTTTTTTGCCGAAATTTTCATGAAGTATGAAGAAAGTCTCTTCATCTTTTCGAAACAAACTCTGTAGCATTGTTCACGGAAGTAAAAATTGCAAGTCAGGAATAGATTTCTACGGAATTTTCCTCATTCAAAAATAAACATTCTTAATTGGTTGACCAAATATGCCGGGTTCACGAATGAAAATTCCTAATGCTATAGTAAATATTCTTGAGTTAAGACCAAATACCAGTGATTTAAGAATTAAAATTCCCGAATCAAGCGCAATAATTCGTGAATTGAAAATAAAATATTCTTAAGGATATCCAAGTATTTTTTACAGTTTCAATCATCAAATTTATCAATTGAATTACGTGAGAAAAATTTACATTTTGCACAGAATTATGATTTTTTTAAACATTCGTTGTTTATAAATGAATCATTGAAATTGTTTAAACTTTCCGAAACCTAATTTTTTTACGTCTGAAATCGATTTCCGGTAAAATTCTGAATATAAATAAATTTATTACGGTTCCGAACAAATGATTTTTTGCTGGAAAATCGGTTGTTCATAAATTATTTATAGCAAAATACTCGTAATTTCCAAAAATTGTAATTTTTAAATTATTTCATTAATCTTCCTCCAAAAGTAAACTTTTCCACTTTTTTTATGATTTTTAAAATGCTTTCCTGAAGAGGAAAACCTAAAGAGGAATGCCTTGAGCATTCGAAACGTAGTGAAATCGAATTACTAAATTTGTAATTAATTATTGCTGCTGACTTGACCATGGCCCAAATGAATTTCAACAATTTAAAAATATTTTCTGACGATTCAATAACCTGCAAAGTTTAAATAATAAAATTATTGTAAAGTGTCCGGAAACTTAGGGTCAAATGGGGCTCAAATGAAAGCTCTGATGTTCGTCTACAAAAGTAGAAAAGCATTTCTCTAGAGAAAAAATAGCCAAAGTGTTTGAATATCCTTAAATCACGTCCAGTGTTCCTGATTTAAGAATTTTTCTACTTCACGTTAGTTTTATTCTTTCACATAACAGTTACATTTCCGAAAATTAACGTTTGATTTTTCGTCTCGTCTAGGTTCTGTACCGAGTAGCAATGGCCATTGTTCTACTCTTTTACAAGCACTCGTCGTCGACAACGTCGGAGTGGATGGGTGAAATAACGAAAAATGGAGTTGACGCGGCTCTTTCGAAATTTTGCCGTCAAATACCGGTAACTATTCCATTCGGTTGAAACATTTTACTTTATCTATTGTTACGTAAAACAGACAAGCATGTAATGTCTCTACTGTCTAAGTATGTTGGGAGCTAATGACTTTTTTTCGATAAGAATGTAGAAAATGTCAGGTGAACAAGAACACGCGATGTTTCAATTACTGCATCGAGAGATAATACGTTGTATACATTTTTTTAACGTATCGAACGTGGAAAGACAAATCGATTCGAGTCAAAAATGACAATTTTGCTGATTATGCAGACACTTAAACGACTAATAAGTCTCTGGACATATCACAAAAGATCTCTTTCGTGTCAAACAAAATTTAACAAGGACTCTTTCAGAATTTTTCCAGAGACATGAACAATCACATACAATCCCATAGTCAACAATAAAAAAATTTTGAGATAAACCATTTCACTTATCATCACTGACATCTACTTTTACAGATGTTTTATGAGTTCTTGTATCAATAATCTAGTGAATCGTTTCTATTATTTTTTGGTATATTTCTAATCGTTGCAGTCAGCAAAAATCATATATGCAATGTTGATCCCAGAAATAAAAGAAAAGAAAAACAAAAAATTGAAAGATAATCTTTGTTTTTCGCTGACGTTTAGAATTCGCAAGGTGCTCTCCATCAAAAGTCATCCAGAGAAATAATCTATTTGAATTAATTATTTGCGTTTTTATTCACATCAAATAAACAGTTTTTGCAGAATATAAACAAATGTGTTTATTAGTTAGAAAAAAAAATCGTTCTTTATATTGCGAAGAGAACGAATTTATTAACATGTAATAATAACGTTTATTTAAAACCTTGAACATTCCAAATAAACATACGAGTTTACGAATTCAAAATATTTAAAATAATAAAATATCAGTAGCGAATCGATAGAATGGTTTAACTCTCTGTTGACTATTTTGAATATCTCGGAATCTAAGGGAGATAGCAAAATTTTTGTCAAAACCTTTTTTGCAGCCCTTAATTCACTCTACAAAAAAGGTCATTACCAAAATTTCCTTATCTCCCTTAGATTTGGAGGTATTTTTCAAAATCTGAGCTCAAGTCTAAATCGACTTGAACAGTTTTACCGCTTCACCATTTATATTGTTGAAATAAATTAGTAAGTTTCGAATAAAGAGTTTTATTCGGTTCGAATGCACCAGTTCTCTTTAAGAAATTCCAAAAATCTCTATATTATAAAAATCCAAATCGACTTCTGGTGATCAAACTTTAGTACTTGAAATAAAAACTCCAAAATTAAGGGTCACAAGGGTTAGAATAAGGTTCACGAGGCTCAAAATAAGGTTCACGAGGGTCAGAATAAGGGTCTCGAGGGTGCAATTAAGGGTCACAAGAGCCGGTATAAGGGTCGAGGTAAAGATAAGGGTCACAATGGTCCGATTAAGAGTCATAAAGGTCAGAATAAGGTTCACGAGGGTCAGAATAATGGTCATGAGGGTCCAATTAAGGGTCACAAGTGTCAGATGGAAAGTCACAAGAGACGGAATAAGGGTCGAGATAAGAATAAGGGTCACCAGGGTCCGATTAAGAGTCATGAAGATCAGCATAAGGTTCGCGAGGGTCAGAATAAGGGTCAGGAGGGTCCAATTAAGGGTCACAAGTGTTAGATTAAAAGTCATAAGGAACAGACTAAGGGTCGAGGTAAGAATAAGGGTCACCAGGGTCCGATTAAGAGTCATGAAGGTCAGAATAAGGGTCACGAGGGTCAGAATAATGGTCATGAGGGTCAGATTAAAGGTCACAAGTGTCAGATTAAAAGTCATAAGGAACAGAATAAGGGTCGAGGTAAGAATAAGGGTCACCAGAGTCCGATTAAGAGTCATGAAGGTCAGAATAAGGTTCGCGAGGGTCAGAATAAGGGTCACGAGAGTCAGATTAAAGGTCACAAGTGTCAAATTAAAAGTCATAAGGAACAGAATAAGGGTCGAGGTAAGAATAAGGGTCACCAGGGTCCGATTAAGAGTCATGAAGGTCAGAATAAGGGTCACGAGGGTCAGAATAAGGGTCATATGGGTCAGATTAAGGGCCACGATGGGGTTGGCGAGCGAGGCGAGCAGGGGGCGTAGCCCCCTAGTCACTAATAAATAAATTTCAATAGACCATCCAAACAATTTTCAACTGTTGTAACCATTTTTCATCCTCTTTCCCCAGGTGAGCCCGGCAAAATTCTTAAGGACTGCCTTCGGTATTCGGGGACTGAGTTCAGCTTACATATCAAGAGTGTTTTTGCGTACAGAAATGTCTCTGAGAAGTCGCAGTGTCCTAACCGGCTCAAAATCATTGGCAAGATCACGATCGACTGACAATCTACCCACGAGTCAATCCCAGGTCAATATTCAGATGATGTCCCACACACTCACGATTCGAGAGGTAAGTCTGGTCAAGAATTAAAAAATGATAAATTAAAAATACTGTATTACATTATTCTCCAAGGAGTAAGCATATTTAATTCCTTACTCGTCTTGATTTATTTTTATATTCGCTGACGTTGCACATTTCCTCGTTTTCCGTTGGCATTCGAGTCTGTGCAACTCAAATAACATAAAAATAAAACTCACTCTATTTTATTATGACTAGAATATTTATTGATATTTGTTAATTTTTTTTCTCTTTCATGTATTCAATGATTTATTGTTCTTTTGTTCAATCTCTTTTGATTCTGTGAATTGGTTATTGTGGTAATGGGCTAAAAACTAACTGTAAATGTTCCTCGTCCATGGTGTCTTATTTTGATTTCCTCTGAGTAATAGATTGTAATTATTTTTTATCTCTCTTTCTCTCTCTCTCTCCTTGTCGTTTGGTTCAGGAATCACACAGACGTATATTACTCTCGTTTTATCCCTCGAGGGCAGGCAGGCAGATGACAATATGTTTATAAATTATTTTTCAACAACACAAATCAATTTTACGCGTTTCCCACTCCTCGTCTCTCTCTCTCTCTCTAAGACTTGACGTAAAATTCGATTGAGTAAGACATTATTCAATGACAAAAGCTAAACACAAAAAGAGATGACAATTTCGTTTAAAAACACTATTCTCAATGTTTTAATTTGTTTTCAGAAAGAGTGCGAAGACACGTACAAAGACAGGGTATTGTATAATTAATACTTTATGGAAAATGTGTCGTTTAGTTTTCATGTTGCTATCCTCTGTCCCTGAACTATTTATCAATTTTTTTTTATTTCATTGTTTATTATTACTTACACCAAAGTATTTACTCACCACATGGTTTTTCTCGCGTATCAGAAAGCTTTATTCGCCGTTACCATTATTCAAATCATTTACCATTTATTACAAAATGCGAAACATGGCATTATCATTATCGTTTTTTTCTTTCATCATTGGGAGGGTGTGATAACTCCTGTCTCACAAGTGCATTGCAAATTGGTATTTACTGAGTATGATTCCACGAGGCATATTCGACAAGATGTGCACATGGAGGAAAAATTCAAGTAAAAATTGTCTAGGAAAACGGGGGGAAATGATTGTAAATTTTAGAAAGTCAGAAGTGAAGTGGTAAAATGTACAAAAATTTGTCAATTCTTCACATTTGGTGGCATATCAATGGAACTATTTCGATACATCCACATAAATTAGTTAACTCATTTATTTATTCCAATGAAAATGTTTTGATTATATGAAATAAATAATTTATTGATTGCAAATCAATTCTTCATTAGAAACAGTTGGATCATTTACTATCTAAATAAAATAATAATCATCAATAATGATCATTAATTTATTAATCATCATTAATTAGTTAATTAATGATGATTAGTTAATTAATTAATCATCTAATTGATATTGAAGTCTTCATTTGGATCAAACAAACATTTTTACATATTTAAACAACTATTCATTTCATCTTTATGAAAACGCAAACAAAACGGCAAAATGCAAGTAAAAATTGTCTAGAAAAATAAGTGAAAACGATTTGTAAATTTTATGAAGTCAGAGGTGAAGTGGTAAAACGTACAAAAATTAGGCAATTCTTCGCATTTGTTGTCATATAATTGGAATTATTTCGATAGATCCACAGGAATGATGCATTTGAATAAATTAATAAATGCATTTATTGATTCCAAATTACCCTTAGAAATATCTAAATCATTTACCGTCTAATTAACTAATTTATAAATTTATTTATTTATCATCTATTAGTAAAATCATCATTTGGATCAAGAAAACATTTCTTCATATTAAAAAAAATATTCATTTCATGTTTATAAAAACGCAAATAAAATTAAGATTTAAATTTGGATAAAAGCTTTATTTTAAGCTATTCAATAAATCCATTTATTTGATTCGAATCTGCAGTTTTTCTGGGTGTAACGAATTATTTCAGAACGAAATGTGAAAGACATCTTTTACGGAAAAGCGATAAGAAAGATCTTGTCTTAATTTATTATCCAAATATACAATTGAAAAATATCAAGCTTCAGTTATCACGTTTTACTGCTGTAATCTAACTGTTAAAATAATCTAATAATCTAACTGTTAGAAAAAAAATTGAAAATTGAATGGAATTCCAAATGTTTTAACTGCTACAAATCGCGAATTCCCAAACTTACTTGAATTTTCAATCAGAACATGAATATTTAACACTAAATCACACTGAATTTTCACTTATAAAAAAATTCAGGAATTAATTTACCCGAAATTTCTTCACTTCTATAAATTTTAATGGAATAATTGAATAAAAATTCATTGTTTCCATTGATATTTTCATCAAATTATGAATTTTCAATGACAAAATTCGACCAAATTTCAGTAAAATTATTACTCGATCGAAAATTGAGTTGAAGTGGTAAAATAAAGAGTCGAATGTGATGTCTCCTGTAATTATGAAATTATCTCAGAAATAACTGGTGTTAAAAAAAAGATTCTTCAATATTTCAGAACAATATCGTAATTAAAGAAATCATCACCTCTTACCACTTAAACTCATAAAAATATCGACTATTGAAAATCAATCAACAATTAGCCCCTGGGAATGAAGTAAAGTTCTCCACAAAAGGCCAGGAGAGACAAATGACCTATTTCTCTTCTTCATTTTCAATCAATTCCCAACAATATCTACTGCCAACCACTGATCCATCGCATTTACCCCGACTTCCTCATAATTTTTACTCAACTTTTCTCTTCGTGTACGAATCTGCTTATGCGCAACGAACAATTGAATGATTACCTCAACCCACTGAACATTCATTCAAACAAACGCATTCACTGTTTTCATTACATCTCGTAATTTTCACGTTAACCGAGTGGGAATTCATTGTGAAGATGAAAATACTGTGTTTACGTTTTAAAATGCGAGGAGCAGAATGGTTCCTTCACTATTTGCAGGAGACTTTTTAATGATCAATTGTTTTTTTGATGGAAACCAACTAACTCGAGAATGTTTAAAAAAAAATACGAAAAGCAGATGACACTCTGTACACGAGGCATGCCAAGATCGCAATTGCGAAACCGAAAAATAAATAAAACACAGAGGACAGTGTTACTTAATGCCGAGAGAATACAGCTAATCCCTCTACTGCAGGACCATTGTTTCTATTTTCCATTTATTTTCTCTTACATATTAATATTTTGCAGGGGAGCCATCCTTATTTCGTCAATGCATGGCTGCTATTTCGAGACTGACAATTAGTTTCAATTTATTCGAATGGAAAATCATTTTTTTTCTGTATTTTTGTCTCTTCTGTGAGCTTTATTCCCCATATAGGTGTAATCTGTTCCCAGTGGATGGCGAATTACCTGAATAATCGAGCTGACATCGATAACGAATAATCTAAATAACAAAAAATACAATGTCATCACGAAATTGGGCACTCGGTAACAGGTTCTATGAACATTACAGTCCATGCTCGATTTGACAGGATAATAATTGATCGACTATTGATTATTGTAATGGATACGAAGGGAAAATTAATAGCAATATGTTTAATTGGATATGTTAAATGGTCTGACGCAGTTGTTAAACTGATGGCTATCTGTATTTATTGTATTGTTATTACGCTGCGTTATCCGGATATGATGGTGGACTGAATATTATTTGATCATTGGGGGTTGGTGCAATTGGAATACGTAATAGGGTGCACACAGCCCTGGACCAAGAGCTCTGTCAATGGGCGTGTATCCTATACAGACTGTTAACTCGCAGATCTTAGACGTGCCTGATGTAAGTACATTTACACGGGCAAGTTAATGTACCAGTTGGGCCAGTGTTCAAGTTTTACCGAGGCAGAATTTATTAAGTCTATGTCGATGACATGGGGCATGTCGATATTGTCGTAATGCTGTTATCAATTGATTATCCAATTATTATTTTTTATTACCATGAAATTTTGTTTATCCGTTATTTAGCGGCTTGCGTCCATAGTTAACTGTATGAAGCTTCTGTAGTGAAAATTATTTACAAAGAGAAATAGGAAGACGAAGGGATCCATTAATTTCGACTAGTTGATGATAATTTTATTTCCTTATGATTTAACCGTTTATTTTTGTTAATTAGTTAAGGATGGCGGCCTCATTAATTATCTGTGAATGGCTACAATTCAACGACTGATTCGTCTACTGCTATTCGACACTTTAAACTTGATGAGCTTTTAGCAATAGCGAGGGAGTTTGTGTAATGATAACGTTGTTTGGATATTTATGACAAATCATTGCTCGTGGTTTTTATTTTTATTACAGTTTGGTTTATCCACGCATGTGCATTAGCATGGGCATGAGCATTTTAGTCAGAGATTGTGCATGAATTGTACATGATTTATTTCACCAAGCACGTTGGTTAATCATGAGAGGAATGTTTTGTATATCTCACTTCATAATACGAGTTTATTTTCAGATTTATTATGGATCACATTGAATCGCTGGAGCTTTCATCAACAATTCATTCATTATCCTACATTCAAAGAATTAAATAATTCAATTGTTGTATGGATATTGCTTGTAACTGTCCACTATTTAAATATTAAATGAAGCATGACAAGTGCCACTGGTGATCAGTGGATATTAATAACTTTTGGTTAAGATAGAGATAAATTATTAAAATGTTCAGTTTGCAAAGTGGTTTCAATTGTGAGGGAGTTTTGGGCGGATTAATGAGGCTTTTCATGATTTTCATTTCACAGTTATTCACACTGTGGTCGTGGCTTCCTGTGAGGATAACGATGTATCAGCCTATTTTGCTGTATACTACGGAGGAACATGGGTGTTCTTTGACAACGTTCTACGTTAGGGTGGAACAGCATGAACCGACGTTGCTCATGATTAAGACGTGTAATAATGAGGTGAGTGACATAATTGGGTTGGAAAACAGAAGGAATTGGTAATTAATTAGGAATAGGCTTCCGAATGGTCATTTTGCACATGATTCCGTTTTCAATTAATTGTTTATAATCATTCTCATTGCAAAAAGCCATTCGACCGATGAGATTCATATGTTCCAATTTATCAGCTGTTAAATTTTCATATTACAATAAATGATTTGCGCATGTTCTAATTCCTACGCTCACTGAATAGGATTTCAATCATAATTACAATTAAATTCCTTCTAGAACACACTTTAGAGTGTGAATTTCTGGAATTCAATGTTCATTGATACTCTGGTAAAAGCGCGTGCCCACACTGTTATCAATTTTTAGTTAGTTGACACGGTAATTCAATTAATCTGTTGTTCATCTCATCAATATAATTCCGTGCTTAGAATATTGTCATCCCGTGTTTTCAGCGCTAAATTAAAAATGAAAACTTCATTTGGAATATTGAGTCACAGCTTCTTTTTATTCATATCAGAAATTTTGTATTTGGATATTAATATTATTTGTTCAGAGTGAAGTAATCAATCATCATTTTCACTATATTGCATTAAGATTCTCCTATTCTTAACGTCAAAAATGTGAGATAATCTCATAATTTTAGCTATCAATTCTAATCAACTTTGTTCAAAGAAAACGTTAGTAAACGCAATATTAAGAAAGTAGAATTATTCTATTTTCCTGTGACCAAATGATTTGGATAATTATAATTTGTTTATTCATGTTTCATAGAATGGTATTTAATTCTCTTCTGATTGTTAGGCGCAATACGACCGATGAGAATCGTATGTCCCAATTTATCAGCTACCACCAACGGCATTTTTTCAATTTTTGGATTATAATGAGTTGATATAATACAAAAAGTTCACAACCTAAATTTAAATTTTTACAAAGCTTTCATTCGGAAGCTATAATCTTGATATAAGTCTCCAATCGTTTAAATCATTATTTGATTTATTTGAAACTTCAAGGTATTTGGAGCTTACTGTTCCACGCGATGGTGCGAAAGAAATTTGAAAGACGATAAAGGACAGAGACAAGCATACTTCGGTACGGGTGAAACATTCCTCTTCAGTTTGTACCCAGAACGTGCTAAATATCCGTGGGTAGGTATGGATTCGTCGCACAACGACTCCAGGGTTCATCATTCCGCTGAACTCTTCATGGCAGCTGATGCCAAGATGATCACCATCGGTGGAGGGTGAGTTCTCAATTCTATAGTAAAATGACACTGAGGAGAACAAAATTCTTCTTTCCAGTAAAAATATCTGAATTTCTGAACTTTTTTAGAGGAATTTTTATTCAAATCAGACGAAAAAGTTCTAATTCTCAGTCATTGTTGATTAAATCTAGTTCAATTGTTCTTAGATTAAGACATTTCTTTTATTTTAAGCAAATCGTGGTTCTGGAATTGAGAGATTTTTACTTTTTCATTTTTAAATTGATGATTTTTTCTGTTTTAAAATTAATATTCTCATTTTTATGAATCTTGATTCCATTGATTCCATCAGTATAGAATTAAAATAATAGTTTCAAAATTCAGAGGAGAAAAAAATTCTCGTTTCCAGTAAAAATATCTGAATTTTAGAATTTTTTTAGAGGAATTTTTATTCAAATCAGACGAAAAAGTTCTAACTCTCAGTCATTTTTAATTAAATTTAGTTCAATTGTTCTTAGATTAAGACATTTCTTTTATTTTATGGAAATCTTGGTTCTGGAATTGAAGATTTTCATTCTTTCGTTCATAAATTGATGATTTTCTCTGTTTTAAACTTAATATTCTCATTTTTATGAATCTTGATTCCATTGATTCCATTAGTATTGAATTACAATAATAGTTTCAAAATTCAGAGGAGAAAAAAATTCTCCTTTCCAGTAAAAATATCTGAATTTTAGAATTTTTTTAGAGGAATTTTTATTCAAATCAGACGACAAAGTTATAATTCTCAGTAATTTTTAATTAAATCTAGTTCAATTGTTTTTAGATTAAGACATTTCTTTTATTTTAAGCAAATCTTAGTTCTGGAATTTAGAGATTTTTACTTTTTCGTTTTTAAATTGATGATTTTTTCTGTTTTAAAATTAATATTCTCATTTTTATGAATCTTGATTCCATTGATTCCATTAGTATTGAATTAAAATAATAGTTTCAAAATTCAGATGAGAAAATAATTCTTCTTTCCAGTAAAAATCTGAATTTTAGAATTTTTTTAGAGGAATTTTTATTCAAATCAGACGAAAAAGTTCTAATTCTCACTCATTTTTAATTAAATGTACTCCAATTGTTCTTAAATTGCTGATTTTTTCTGTTTTAAAATTAATCTACTTATGTTTATGAATCTTGATTCATTGATTCAATTACTATTGAATAAAAATAATAGTTTCTAAATGTTATCCCTTTCGAGTTCTTTAAGTAGCTTTTTGATACTGACTTCGGAGTTTTTCCTCTAAAAACAAGTAATCATTTCTTTATTCTCAGTATAATCCCTTCTAAATCAATGAATTACTTCCGAGAATTAGAAACTTTCACATCTGTAAAAGAAGAATTATTTGATATAATTAAATCGTTTTTTTTTTAAACAATTAAACAAGTTTATTAATTTTGAACAATGACATTCTCCAAATGAATACAAAAATGTCAAATGAACATTTTTATTTGATTCAAATAAACCATTTTCCTGCGTAAAACATCAAACTCACCTCGTTTTCCCCTCCGATTATGCATTATTTACAAAAATAATTACTTTAATTGCATTCCCTTTGTTATTTCAGTGACGGCCAAGCAATTTGGATGGACGAGAACATCCGATTTGGCAAAACAGATCGTTGTTCGACTTTCAACAATCCACCACTGTGCGCCAGTGGTGATTTCGAGATTAGAGTATTGGAGGTTTACGGTTTCGCTGGGGCCTAATTCTCTTCACGTATAAAAAAATGCAACTGCCATTTATCAACTCTCTATAATCTTTGTCTCGTTATTTATTGTTGGTGTAATCCTCTGTTGCTTCGATATATAAATAGTATTATTGTGCGTGATATGGCTTCAATATGAGCGAGTAATCACGATTTATTACTCATTAAGAGTATCAAATAAACAGAACAAAACGAAATGAGAAGCGAATAAAAAAATGCAAAAAAATGAGGTAGAACAACTGAATTAGCATTATTAGGTCCAGGATGTTAGCTTTGTGACAAAAAATCTGAGGAATCTTATGGAAAGGACTCGATTGTTGTATTAACAATGAAAATTCATTTGAAGTGTGACAAATTCTTGGAGAAAGCAAATGTTCTAGCCCTAATCATTGAAAGGAAATATTAAAATAAAACATGTTCAATTACCCAGTGAAATTGAATTGTTACGTAATTACGCTTTCTTCGTTGTAGCTGTAAAGAACATTTATAATTTGTAATTCAGTGTCGATTTATAATTTTTTTTTTCATTCTCATGGTGCATATGCCTAACGTTATGGGTAATAAGGCTGTCAGTTAAGAAAAAATGACAAATGATTGACAAGATTTTCAGCAATGAGAGAACGGAAAATCAGTGAGACTCGTGAGACTATTAATGATATAGAGGTAATTGATTAAGCGAATGCGCCTAGTCCTATCGGTATGCATTGTAATGACTTTTATGTTCAATATTTTTTTTCTCTAATTTAGGAATTACTGTTGCCAATTTGTTTATTCGAGAATACAACGTTGGAGCCGGCTCCTCCAGATGACAGATTTTTTTTCTTTCTTCATTATTATTGAGGGTTTGTCAGTTGATTGATGAAAGATATAAACCGAATAATTTTGACAATAATATAAAACTAATTGAAATGAAAAATCTCTTACGGTAGAGCAATTTTTTTTGGCATTAAATTTCCACAGTTTTCGATAATCAAGGCTCGGTCGCACCAATCTGTAGACTAATTTTTATTATACATTCAAGACTGGGAAGAAAAACATGTTCTCAGATGAGTCTTGTTTAAATATTACTAAGAATAAATAGAATAACGAAGCGGTAAAATAATTTAAGTCGATTTAGCAGAGTTTTTGAGGAATATCTCCAAATCTAAGGGAGATAACGAAATTTTTGTTACGACCTTTTTTGTAGAGCGAATTGAGGGCTACAAAAAATGTCATGACAAAAATTTCGCTATCTCCCTTAGATGTCGAGATATTCATCGAAAACTGGGCAATAGTGAAAATCGACTTGAACCGTTTTACCACTTCGCTACTGAATAATTATTGCCGAAATAATCAATTTAGTTGTTCCAAAAAATTGTTATTTTTTATGCGAAACATGAACGAGTAGTTTGTTTCAGCTATTTAATACTCGAAGATAAGAAATGATTTCTTAAATAAAATAATCATGATTATTTAACAGCAATATTGTCACTTAGAAACAAAATATTTCTTGATTAACTTAATTTTATAAAAAATATAATACAAATATTTGGTTTGAAATCAGAGCCATTATTATTGTTCAATTGAAAGAATTTATATTTTTACAATTGTTGATTTTTTGTTTAAACGAGACTTGTTTGAAATGTTTTTTTTCTCTCAGATTTAGCTAACCAAGATTGGTGCAACCACCCCTAGCGCCTATATGTATTTGTGCATAGTAAAAGTGATTTTTTTTTGTCAAAAAAATACATTTCATACGAATTGAAATCCTAGTTTGTAAAATGTTATTTTTACATTCATGATACAGATTGAATTTGATCTTTGGAAACTGTTAATTTTATAGCTTTAATCCTGTTAGAAAAATTGATTTTCTTGTATATATTATAAATATTTATCTTTTTCTTCGCTATTTGGGTTCACGTAGCTATTTAATGTTATTAAAAAAAAATACAAATTTTCCTACAAAAAGTTGTGATCAATACCGATTTAACTGTAAAACCATAGTTCAGATGGACACGTGGAATTAGGAAACCGGTGCGAATAAAAATGGTAATGATAGATTATTAGAATTATCAATTAGGATAGTTTAACTGTTAAAGTGGCTGAATAGCACCCTCGTTCTCAATCCTCTTTTCATTTGACAATTTTCTTATTTATTTATTTCATTGATAAGAATTATTTTTTAATTACTCTTCGTTTCCGATTTACGTCATTCCTTCCGTCATTCTAACTAGTACTAGAAAAACTAATTGCCGCATACCAAATGCATGAGAGAGAAGATTTTCAGATATAAATTCTCTGGTGACAAAGTGTCCTTCAAAATGGTCACTTGATAAATTTCTCAAAACCTCTTCGAAGATATTTACCCGAAATGTTTTTTTTAGGCTTATGATTGGAAGTTGAGACTTCTAAAAATCAAGCAGAGACTTGACAACCTCAAGTCAAGATTTCAAAATCTCAAGTTTAGATTTTTAATTTTTGAAGTCTCAAGTTGATACTAGAAAGTCCCAAGTTGAGACTTCAAAGTCTCAAGTTAACATTTGAAAGTTTCAAGTTCAGATTTTCAAAAGTCTCAAGTTGAGACTTGAAAGTCGCAAGTTGAGACTTGAAAGTCGCAAGTTGAGACTTCCAAGTCGGAAATTAGGATTTCAACGTTTCCAGTTGAGATTTTTTAAAGTCTCATGTTGAGACTTGAAAGTCCCAAGTTGAGACTTGAAAGTCCCAAGTTGAGACTTGAAAGTCACAAGTTGATACTAGAAAGTCCCAAGTAGAGACCTGAAAGTCTCAAGTTAAGATTTAAAAGTTTCAAGTTGAGTTTCAGAAGTCTCAAGTTGAGACTGGGAAGTCGTAAGTTCATACTGAAAAGTCTGAAGTTGAAACTTGAAAGTCTCAAGTTACGATTTGAAAGTTTCAAGTTCAGATTTTCAAAAGTCTTAAGTTGAGACTTGTAAGTCGTAAGTTGATACTGAAAAGTCCAAAGTGAAATTTGGAAATCTCAAGTTAAGATTTGAAAGTTTCAAGTTCAGATTTTCAAAAGTCTCAAATTGAGACTTGAAAGTCGCAAGTTGAGACTTCCAAGTCTGAAATTAGGATTTCAACGTTTCCAGTTGAGATTTTTTAAAGTCTCATGTTGAGACTTGAAAGTCCCAAGTTGAGACTTGAAAGTCATAAGTTGATACTAGAAAGTCCCAAGTACAGACCTGAAAGTCTCGAGTTAAGATTTGAAAGTTTCAAGTTGAGTTTCAGAAGTCTCAAGTTGAGACTGGGCAGTCGTAAGTTCATACTGAAAAGTCTGAAGTTGAAACTTGAAAGTCTCAAGTTACGATTTGAAAGTTTTAAGTTCAGATTTTCAAAAGTCTTAAGTTGAGACTTGGAAGTCGCAAGTTGATACTGAAAAGTCCAAAGTTAAATTTGGAAATCTCAAGTTAAGATTTGAAAGTTTCAGGTTCAAATTTTTAAAAGTCTCAAGTTGAGACTTGGAAGTTGAAACTTGAAAGTCTCAAGTTACGATTTGAAAGTTTCAAGTTCAGATTTTCAAAAGTCTTAAGTTGAGACTTGCAAGTCGTAAGTTGATACTGAAAAGTCCAAAGTTAAATTTAAAAATCTCAAGTCAAGATTTTAAAGTTTCAAGTTCAGATTTTCAAAAGTCTCAAGTTGAGACTGGGAAGTCGTAAGTTCATACTGAAAAGTCTGAAGTTGAAACTTGAAAGTCTCAAGTTACGATTTGAAAGTTCAAGTTCAGATTTTCAAGTCTTAAGTTGAGACTTAGAAGTCGTAAATTGATGCTAGAAAGGCCCAAGTTGAAGCTTTCAAGTCTCAAGTTAAGATTTGAAAGTGAGATTTGACACTCATGACCGAAATGATGTGCAGTGAACAAAATTTCGACAATTTTACTCAACATTCTATCACTTAACAACATAAATCATCAGTCCAGCGCCCAAATTTATTGTTTTTCCGATAACAAGTTGATCTCATACAACAACGAAGCAGAAACAATAGAATTCAAGGCTCCACGGATCAAAATACATTAATAGCAACAAAATACATCAAAAGATGCCTCTCATTTACGTGCTTTACGAATGTGTTGCTAAAGAAAAATAAAAACATTGTTAATCATGCCAGTAACGTGACACTGAAACATCACCATAAAAACATAATTATAGATATACACACTATTAATGATTTTCAATGTCGAAAACAACGCAAACAAACGGTAAGAGCAAGAAAAAAACGAATCATGCATATACGAAAATGGAAAGTATTATCGAAATGTTTTTTAGGTACAAGTTAATAATTATTCATATTACATTACAATAAATATTGACTTCTTGATAACAGGAGAGCGTATCAGTCTAGGAAACCCATAGCACTTGCGTTTCTGTTATCAAGACATCGATATAATCCGAAACAAATAAATAACATTAATTGAAAAAAAAAACAAGATAAATATATAATCGAATGGAGTGTTGTCAGATTTATGTATAAATGAAAACTATTGTTATAGTTGGAAAATAATGTAATATTATAATGAATATATTTCTCAAGGAGCGATATGAATTGTTTCCACCATATCATATATTAGATCGATTGATTGAAAAAAAATATGTCGTGCGATTAGTATAAATATTGTTGAATTGATTTTAAAGGATAATTACGTAATCTGCAAATTGTGTTAATGTAATTATTTCAATTACCTCCCCTTAGCTTTCAGAGTTTATATGTGTATGAAAAAATTATTCGAGATTCGATTGAATAAAATGGGTTGATCTCAACTTTAACTGTTTCCATGAATGCGAAAAGCATCAGCAATACCTGACCTCAAGATGGCCTTATAGAAAGTGGGGATTCCCCTCCTACCTATTCCAAAATCCTATCATGAACTCCCGTCTTTCGTGATCCAGGATGAACTGAACTGTTCAAATTGGAAAATATATTTTATCCTTGTTGTCACAAGTAATGTGACGCATTGTAATTTCTATTAGGATGGAAAAATTTTTTTTTTCAGAATTTCAATAGAATTTTCTAGCGAAGACAAAGTTTTTTATCAATTTTTTTTACGTGAACGTGCCCATAATCTATAACTGAAAAAAAAGTCATGTCCAATAGTTCTTATAGGACTCATCAATAGACTTATGAAAATGGGTTATCTCGCAATCTTTCATGTTTTCAATGAGACCTTTATAAATTTCGAAATTATATGTAGAATTTTTCCATCAATCTCTTACAACTGCATGACAAAAATTGTCTTGTAAATTGGAAAATTTTTGTCAATTCATCTTCCTCAATCACACAAAATATCCTGCAATCACAATATCAGAAGTACAATTACAATTAGCGAAGTTTCAATCATCGCCTTGAATTTCAATTTTCCCGTAATTATTTCTCCATGCATACTTGCAAGATTCTTTCTTTCGTTCTTGTGAAGTTCGTACCTTTTTGACCGTTAATTATAACGCTCGCCGGCCTAATTGAGGCGAAACGCATGAAAGAATTACGCATTCATTACTGATTTTTTGCTTGTTACCGTTATGACAACTCCAATTTCGATGGAATTTTGTAACACTATACAATTCATCCGCTCTAATTGCAGATGTAGAATGAATTTTCATCGTTAAAATTTCTCAAGGACACCGAATAAAGCTCAATTTTTTAACTAGGCAATACAGAATTATTGACACACAAAAAAATAATAGAAAAAGCTAGAGAACGCGCATTCCATCATATCTTCAGGTTTCATAACGCCTAGACTTATTCAATGAAATTTCAATTTTTTAACAGCGTTGAGATGAGAATTCCTCAACTTATTTGAATTGTCAATGAAATCATGAATATTCAGTGCCAAATTACGATAAATTTTCAAATAATTGAAAACTCAAGAACATATTAATTTTCAAGGAATAATTGAATAATTTTCAGTGAATAATTGAGCTCACATTGACAGTTCTCATCGATTTTTCCGTTGTGACTTCTAAATTTTCAATGACAAAAATGCTTAAAATGGCGTTAATGGTTTCAGGGAATCTAAAAGGCAATAATCATTCCCGCAAAGTGTACCGGAAATTTCAGTCAAAAGTTTCTAACAGTGTATGGTCCGAAGTTTACACAAAATTAAAAAAATTATCACATGTATACAAGGATTTCCACATAAGATGGTGAACTGTAAGGATTGAATATGCACAACATTTCTATTTATCAAGTTTCTTTTCGTGATTTGTCGTGGCCATACGCTTTATCAATTGTCACGGGAATTTTATTACTTTTTCTGTTGATTTGAACGGAATTATATTAGTTATTGCTATTTATAATAGTCCTATAGAAATCTAATAGACTTTCCTGGCGAATGTGCTAGGTTTTCTTATCAAATTTTTCATCACTTGTGCGGAAATTTTACGCACGCGCAAAAAAAATTTTCCAAAAAAAGAAAATTTTCCGCGTGCGCAAAATCCATTTTGCGATGAAATAGTATATTGCGTTACTAGTGCGTAAAGTTCCACTTTTTCACACGCACGCGTAATACATCCTATTTTTGTGATACCTGCCGAGTTCACTCTTCGGAATGGTAGTGAGGGTAAAGTGTAGTTATTTTTTGCATGAGTGCGTAAAGTTTAAGAGCGTGCGTTAAGTGAATTTCGAGTGCGTAAAGCGAAGCTTTACGCGAAAAACAACTGTTTTCCGCACACTAAATTGTTCCAAAAAGTGCACTTTTCAGGATGGTATCATAAAATAGTATATTGCGTTACTAGTGCGTAAAGTTCCACTTTTTCGCAAGCACGCGTAATGCATCCTATTTTTGTGATACCTGCCGAGTTCACTCTTCGGAGTGGTAGTGAGGGTAAAGTGGTTGTTTTTGTGCATGAGTGCGTAAAGTTCAAGAGCGTGCGTAAAGCGAAGCTTTACGCGAAAAACAACTATTTTCCGCACACTAAATTGTTCCAAAAAGTGCACTTTTCAGGATGGTATCATAAAATAGTATATTGTGTTACTAGTGCGTAAAGTCCCACTTTTTCGCACGCACGCGTAATACATCCTATTTTTGTGATACCTGCCGAGTTCACTCTTTGGAATGGTAGTGAAGGTAAAGTGTAGTTATTTTTTGCATGAGTACGTAAAGTTCAAGAGCGTGCGTAAAGTGAATTGCGAGTGCGTAAAGCGAAGCTTTACGCGGCAACCAACTGTTTTCCGCACACTAAACCGTTCTGAAAAGTCCAATTTTCAGGCTGGTATCATAAAATAGTATATTGTGTTACTAGTGCCTAAAAGTTCCACTTTTTCGCACGCACGCGTAATACATCCTATTTTTGTGATACCTGCCGAGTTCACTCTTCGGAATGGTAGTGAGGGTAAAGTGGTTGTTTTTGTGCATGAGCGCGTAAAGTTCAAGAGCGTGCGTAAAGTGAATTTCGACTGCGTAAAGCGAAGCTTTACGCGGAAAACAACTGTTTTCCGCACACTCAACCGTTCCAAAAAGTGCACTTTTCCGGCTGGTATCATAAAATAGTATATTGCGTTACAAGTGCGGAAAGTTCCACTTTTTCGCACGCACGCGTAATACAGCCTATTTTTGTGACACCTGCCGAGTTCACTCTTCGGAATGGTAGCGAAGGTAAAGTGGTTGTGTTTGTGCATGAGTGCGAAAAGTTCAAGAGCGTGCGTAAAGTGAATTGCGAGTGCGTAAAGCGAAGCTTTACGCGGAAAACAACTGTTTTCCGCACACTAAACCGTTCCGAAAAGTGCACTTTTCCGGCTGGTATCATAAAATAGTATATTGCGTTACAAGTGCGTAAAGTTCCACTTTTTCGCACGCACGCGTAATACATCCTATTTTTGTGACACCTGCCGAGTTCACTCTTCGGAATGGTAGTGAAGGTAAAGTGGTTGTTTTTGTGCATGAGTGCGTAAAGTTCAAGAGCGTGCGTAAAGTGAATGTCGAGTGCGTAAAGCGAAGCTTTACGCGGAAAACAACTGTTTTCCGCACACTAAACCGTTCCAAAAGTGCACTTTTCAGGATGGTATCATAAAATAGTATATTGTGTTACTAGTGCGTAAAGTTCCACTTTTTCGCATGCACGCGTAATACATCCTATTTTTGTGACACCTGCCGAGTTCACTCTTCGGAATGGTAGTGAGGGTAAAGTGTAGTTATTTTTTGCATGAGTGCGTAAAGTTTAAGAGCGTGCGTTAAGTGAATTTCGAGTGCGTAAAGCGAAGCTTTACGCGAAAAACAACTGTTTTCCGCACACTAAATTGTTCCAAAAAGTGCACTTTTCAGGATGGTATCATAAAATAGTATATTGTATTACTAGTGCGTAAAGTTCCACTTTTTCGCACGCACGCGTAATACATCCTATTTTTGTGGTACCTGCCGAGTTCACTCTTCGGAATGGTAGTGGGGGTAAAGTGCTTGTTTTTTGCACAAGTGCGTAAAATGAACTGCGAAGCGTCACGCCCGAAAATTCACTTTACGCACGCCATGTGGAAAACGACCGTTTTATGCACTTTTCAGGCAAGTATCACAAAAAACACTTTTACGCACTTGTATTGAAATACATTATTTTCGCACATGATCATTTGGAATAGAAATCTCAAGTGCACAGCAAACTGATAAAGAAAAATTGTTCAATACAAACATTGATATTCCTCACGCCGGTACCTTTTATGTATCCTCGAGCCGCATTATTGTGTAATTTTATGTGTTAACCGCGTTCACCAAATACGAGGGTACTTATTATACTATACCTGGCTTTCGATAGCCAGAGTCGCTAGTCCCGCCACGTACGCCTCGCTCTCTCGCCAGTTGCCGCTAAAACATTGTACGGACTTGTCAGTTCTTAATAATTCCTCAAACCTATTAATTCTCTGTATTCTCTCTCCTTGGTCTAGTTTATCATTCTCTAATTTTCATAGTTATTTGGAGAATTGAATGTGCGAGTTCAATGGTGTAATCAGTATTCATCGAAATTAATTGCATTTTTATTCAAATTTTGAGTGGCAGTTTTGAATGGTGCGAGATTGATAGTTGAGTTATGGTTTCTTCGGGTGATGAAAGGTGTTCAATCGTGTTTGGAGGTGCTCGGAGGAGCATTTCTGTAAGAAATCCATTCAAATACATCGAGATTTATTCACTCATTCGGGTATTGTCGCTTGTCATGCAAATCTAAAGTTAATTTGAAAGAATAATTAAATTAAATCAGGTGTTTCCAGTGTTTTTCGCGGTATTCGGGGGCTTATTTGATGTTTACGACGTGTCGTCAGTCATCGGATAATTTCTCATCCTTCAATTTTTTTATCTCGACGCGACTGATAGTTATTGCGATTTATCAATCAATGGAATGGATTGATTTCGTATCAACATTCTTCACACATTTTCCTTCGATCCTCTTCGGTGATTGAGGTGGAATTTACTTCCTGGTGGTCTGGACAGTTCGAAATGCGTTAGTGAAACCGTGGAAAATTGTGATAGCGAGATGATCAAAGTGTTATTTTGCGGGGGGCAAAAACAAGTGGAAAAATGTACAGGGGGAATTCAGTTGTTTTGATGTTTATTTGTGGTTTAATGATTTTGAATTTTTAATTTTATTAGCTTCCAAGTCCTTGATTAATAATCCTCAAGAGACACTATTTTTCTTCTAGTAAATCCGTTCATCATTTTCTAATTATTGAATTATTTATTGGAAATTTCACAGGAAATTCCAATATTTAGTTCTGAATTTCATAAGCATTGAAATAGGTTTGTAATTGTTTCGTTCTGTTGACTAGAAATATTGCGCGAGTGAATGCTGTTGTCTTGTTTTGATATTCATTTATTCATCCATCATTATATTATTGCTTAATTAATAATCCTCAAGAGAGATTATTTTTGTTCTAATTAATTGAATTATTGAATTATTCATTGGAAATTCCACAGGAAATTGCGATATTTAATCCTGAATTTTATAAGTATTGAAATCAATTTAATTGCCTCGTTCTGTTGATTATAGGAATATTTCGAGAGTGATGTTGCAACTCGTAAAAGTTCCCCTCAATTTTAATTATGCCCTCCAAAGATATCAGTAGTAAAGCGATAAAATGGTTCAAGTCGATTTCGACTATTCCAATTTTCAACGAATATGTCGGAATCTAAGGGAGATATCCAAATTTCTGCCAAAACCTTTTTTATAGCCCTCAATTCGCTCTACAAAAAAGGTAATTACAAAAATTTCGTTATCTCCATTAGATTCAGAGATATTTCTCGAAAACTCAGCTAAGAGCTGAGTCAACTTGAACTGTTTTACCGCTCCGCTACTGATATCGTGAAAATAATCCGCGAATTCACTCTGAACTGATTTAAAAACTCTCACTTTATGGAGAATAAAACAGATTTTATGTTCTTACAAAAAACTGAAAGTCCTGGTGTAAATAACTGCGAGCAGAGCGTGAGTTTTATGGCATTCCCAAAAAAAGGAGAAATGAGAATTGCAATCAAAATGGGTCACGGTTGCCGGTTGATATTACCTGGCGTTAAAAAAGACAGTTGAAAGAAGCTATTCACATTCTAGTGAAGTATTATGAGTCAGTTCGTCATAAGCAGATCTTTTGAACAATGTCAATGTTGCAGCCTAGCTAGGGATCAACAATCGATCGTTCAGCCTTCGTCATCAAACGTGAAAACACTGGGAGCAGAATAAACATACCCATCTGCACAATTGTTTGACGAACAAAAAAATAAGAATAATGAGAAATTGAATATGTAATGACGATAGTGTTCTAGTCACCTTCGACGTGATGATTATCTTTCGAACGTGATCTTAATTGTTATTTTTTATTTTGGTAATCTAAAGTGTTCTCATTGTCATTCAGGTTTTCATGGCATGGAGACCCCAAAAATTATGATCCGCTATTAAAAAATAGGTGAAACATTTTTGGTCAGCAATCTATTTCGCCAAGCATATGTATATGAGATATAGGCAACTGAAACGATGGATTTGTATTTTCATATTCGGTCTCATCCGCTCAGTCACACCGATTGGGGGGGGGGTCGCCACCTGCTCGCTTCGCTCGCTCCCCCCC